ATATAATTTAGTACCTAAACTTTTAAAATTTTACAAAAGGTCCAGAAATGTTGATGGTAAAATTACATTTTGGTATCTTTATATTTTTGCATCACACTATAAGTACCTAAAATTTTAATATTTTACAAATAGGTCCAATTTTTTGTTAGGAGGTATTTCAAATCACTAGTTGTTGAAATGTATTCGAAGTTGACAAGTAATGCACTAGACATGTATTTGGAAATCGCCCCATGAATTTTGCACAAATCCAAATACCAAATGTAATTAATATCCAAACACATGATTTGACATTTAGAAATCAAAATCACAAATACCAAATCAAAATCATTCTATCCAAACACACCATAAAATAATTAATGATCTCAATTATAATAATTAATGTATTTAAGTCTGGTCTCATGGGTCGTAACTTTTAAGCCTTCCCTCACAAGCATGTGCATGAGCCAAAAGGAAAATGATTATCCTATAAGAAATCGTGTCATGTAACGAGAATAATAAATCACATAAGAATTAATGAACTGCTATTTGTCGCCCACGATTTAAAACAAACGGACAATTTTGCCTTTACCTTTTGAAGTGAGGTTTGCCAGAAATTGGACAAGATAGAATCGCCTAGAATTGACATCGTTTCCTACCTTCCTCCCTCTGATTCTGACCTAAACCTAGTCGTCGACGAGGCCAAACGCCAAACCTCTGCCTTTTTCTTTGTTCCCATTTTCCCCTTCATTGTTCCCTATGTCGCTTCTTCTCCAACTTGACACCATCCACCCCGCAACGGCATCTGAACCATCCTCCCCGGCGACCACGAAAACACAACCGCAGCTCGCTCCGGTCATGTAAACTCGGCGACATTGGCGAGAAAGAAATCGCCGGGTTTGGACTCAAGAAATTGACGTCGATCTGCCCTAGAAACGCGGTCGGACGCCGGCAATCGGAAGGTGAGGGACGGTCCGACGCAGGCGGTCGGACGGTGAGGCCCGGTCCGACGCCGGCGGTCCGACGGAGAGGGACTTATTAATTATTTTCCTCTTTTGAATTTTGATTGTTACCAAAAACGGAATTTAATAAATTAATTACTTTATTCCTTGTTAAAAAAATTACCTATTCTAGTTATAATCACTTAATTACATAACCTACCATATTTGTCTCTAGTAGACTAGTGATGGAATAGTTATACCTTCCCTAATACCCCGCTTGTCTGATTCATTACCTCTTTTCATTGCTAGTTAGTATCACCAATGGAATTTTTAATTTAACTAAGGTAAGTTTAGGTTATTAATAATTTCCGTGTTTGTCTCTAACAACAGTCGTTATCGGACGGTAAGGACTGGTCCAACCGCCTGCATCGGACGGGGTCCGACCGGTTGCATCGGACGGGGTCCGACCGCCAGCGACGGACCGGATTCGACGTGTCGGCGACGGACGAGGTTCGATCGTCTGCATCGGACGGGGTCCGACCGCCGGAGTTGGACGGGGTATGTCTGTTCCGGCGATGGTTGTCTAGTGCTGGCGATGGCCCTGGCCGAGGTGGTCTGGCGCTGGCGCCAATAACAATGGTAGTCCGCTGGTAGTGTTGTGGTGGAATGAGGGTTGGTGTTGTAATTGAACGTTGGGTAAGAATGACATTGACACTAAAAGCAAGGCGGAAAATAGTAAATGTCTAGCTGCAAATAACAACCCTAAAAAAAAATAGACATGGCAAATTACAACTCGACCAGTTGATCCGATCCAAAACCGCTCGAAAACTAGAAATTTTTGTAACCCAAAATCCGAATGACTCGAACCCGATAACCTGTGATTTTTTGGGTCGGGTTGGGTGGGTCAGCGGGTCGACCTGTTAGATCCGTTCTATTTAATATATTACTCTCAAAATATGATAAAATCACTCATAAATTGGTGAGATGTTTAAAAAAAATCACAAGGATTTGAATGACATTTTTGGAGTTTAAGGATAATCAAATATCATGTGTTTCTTGTAGTAGTATTACTCTTGTGATTGTTTTCTGCCTATTTGCGCAATTTATATTTCATTTCATTAGCGTGGGAGGATTTGAGAATATGTTAATTGACATGTGTTAGGTAAACTATTGTCATACATATGTGAAAATTTGTGTTCTTTTAAGAAAATATGAAACATGTTTGATATTGTTTCTGAGAACGCTCATAACCCGAAATGACCTGTAAACCGACCCAAAACCGAATGGGTTGGATCACTATTAACCCGAAATAAGTCAACCAAACATAACCTGACCCGTAACCAAAGTTCCCAACCCGAAATTACCCAACCCGATCCCCATGTCTACTAAAAAATTAACCGTGATTCTTGGATGCGAGCAAGTGGTTAACAACGAAGATTGACAGGCTGACAGTAAGTAGATGGAGACATGGAGTCGAGTAGCTTACGTTGTACAAAAAATATTCACTGGCCAGAAGGAAGGCCTCAAAATAACCCGCAAGTCATTATCCCGCCGGAGGAACTTGAACAGCAAAAATAACTAATTAGTTCAACGAAAATATAAAAGAAAAGGATGAATTAATCCCTACCATTACTAATTTACTATCCTTCCTACCCCTCTTCCTCTTCCGCATCATCATCATCATCATCATCATTCTCCTCTTCATCACTACTAACGTCTCCCCCGTACCTGTTGACAAACAGACGCTGCTCTCGAAGCTCAGCTCTAATCCAATCCTTCAGGCAAACAGACATCTCCGCAGCCTTCGAACCCATCTCCCTCCTCTGTTCGTTAACACCAGACGAATGGAAATCAAACGTATCTTCAGGCACCTTTGCTGAAGCTACATGCGCCAACACATCGCGAGCCACGGTAGCCAGCACCGGATATCTAGCCTGGTTGTGTTTCCACCATTTTAACACGTCAAGCATGTCCAGCTTATCAATGTCTTCTTCCAGGCCGAGACTCGACACATCATCAGATGACAAGTAGTACTGGATCTCGGAATGGGAAGAAGCTTTCGTGTCGCTGCCCTTTTTACCATCACCGTCTCTTGAGCTATGCACAAGACGAACTGCACTTTTGGTACCACTACTGCTGCAGCCGCTCCGAACCAGGTCTTCAGGAATGAGAGGAACATACTGCTTGAAGTATGCATCATATGTTTTGTAGAACAGTGTCTTGATCTTATTTTTCGTATCCCCGATGGATACTTTAGTGTTAGCATGATAGCCATCCAGCAAATGCAACAAACCATCTAGCTTGTATCTGGGATCCAAGATAGTAGCGAGACAATACACCATTGGAATACCATCTACCCAATAAGTTGAGAACTTAGCCTCCATTCCAGCACATATTTGGCCAACGTGCTTGTCATCTCTATACTGGGCAGAAGCTTCACTCAGTGTGTAGAGTATTGGGATGACCAAGTTAGCAGTAGGAATATAAACACTACAGAAGATATCAAAAGCTGCTTTGAACCTTTCCAAGAAGTCTGTCAAGCTGCATAGAACGCTCCATTCATCTTCCGTCAAGGGCGTGCCACAATAATTACCAGCAGCATGCTCAACGCTACAGAGCTCCATAAGTATGGAACGATAACGAATGAAGGCATCCAACATTTCATATGTAGTGTTACTCCACATGGGTATATCACAAAGCAATCTTTTAAACCTCAAACCACTCTGGCTGCACTTGTCTTTGACTTGCTGCTCAATGTTTGATTCCTGGATGAAATGGATCACATTTCTTACCTTATCGAGGAGGCTAGAAATCTTGGAGAAGCCATATTTGAGGCACGAATTCACAATGTGATGAGCACATTTGCTCTGGAAAAGATGACCATCCAATATGGGGTTGAACCAAGTCTGTAACTTCGAGACAGCTGCAGTAACATTAGTCCTGTCATCGAAATTGATTGAGAGAACTTTCCCCTCAAGCTCCCACTTCAAAACCACTTTCGTGATCGTAGATGAAACATTCTCAGGATCCTCCATTGGCCAGTCTAGCTGCTGAAACCCTAAAACCCTGCTCTGCATCTCCCACTTCTCATCAATCCAGTGACAGCTCAAGTAAAGATAAATGACCCCTTCGAGAAACACATCAGAACTCGACCACAGGCCACTGGCGAAAGAGACTCGAACCTTCAAATCCCTCAGAACGTGAAGCAAAGACTCCGTCTCTTTCGCATAATAGGCCATCGCAGCTTTCCTCAAAACTTTCGCAGAGAATTTAGGGTACGCGGGATTCATAGTCTGGACAAATAGATTGAATAGAGTGCAGTCTTTGAACAGAATCGGTAAAGATTCGGCAACCGCAAGCCTAACTAGTTGTTCCCCTCCAGGTAATTGCCCATACAAATCATCGGCGCCGGACTTACCTTTAACACCGGCGGTCGGTACTTCATCCTTCGCCGAATGCCACTCTGAAAGCCTCTCCGGATGGCACTCCTCCATATGCTTCCTCATAGCGTCCTTGTCGAAATCCTCCCAGCAGTCTTCTCCTTCTTCTTCTTCTTCTTCTTCTTCTTCTTCTTGGACAGCCTCCGCCGTCGCCGCGGCCGGCACTTCTTGCTCCACTTCGTCGTCCTCCGGCAGCATCTCCGGGTGATGCTTCTCTACATGCCTCCGTAGACGGCTGGTGTCGAACTGCTCCCGGAGGTCTTCTTCACCATCACTAGCTTGTTCCCTTTTCCGTTTAGAAGGCATAGGGATCCCGGCGTCGCCTTCCATTGATTTCAATCGATGATCGGAAACTGGGAAACGAAAGAATGATTCTCAACGGCAAATGAAGCGGCGGAGAAACGATCGGAAACCTCGAAGTGGGAAAACCTTCCTTGAAAAGGGAAAAGTTTTTGGAGAAGAGGGAAAGAGCGCCAGCGGGGTTTTATGGGGGGAAGTCCATCAACGGTCATAAATAGTTATCGGGCCCGATTTTCTTGATCCAAAAGCAGTTAAACAATGGGCCGGCAGTTCGGCCCATGGCCCAGCGCCATTTTCCTTTGTAATCTGGGAGAAGGAAAAAAAGACAACAAAAACAAGAAGAAATAAAGTTGCTGACGAAGGGCGCCGCTGAAGCAAATCAGTTGTCGGTATCGGAACTCAGAAGTCATAACAGGGAGTTTTACAGTTTCAGAGGCTCGACGGCGGGCCTGCCGGAGAAGGAGGTTTGGTTTCTCTCCTATTGTTTACTCATCTCTTACCGCGCTCTGGAACTAGAAATACTTTAGTTGGTATGATTTTTTTTTATCTAGGGTTTCACTTTCAATTAGCTTGATTGTAACTTTTGAGGGTTGGCTGCTTCTTGAGTACTTTCCTTCTGGGGGTTTTCCCACATGGTTGGTGTTTGGGAGGGGGATTTTCATGGAGATAAATAATTGCGATGCAGGTAAAACGAAACAATGACGAGTGAGGAGGATTCCATCGAACAAGCTGCGGTGGCGCGGCGTGAGAGGCTAATGAATCTTAAAGCTGCTAAGGAGCTTATGAGCACCCCGGATGAGGGTTCAGAACAAGTCGAGGATAAGACGGATCAGGAGGACGAAACAGCTAATGGCGAGTGAGTATAGCTTGGATATATATATGCGATTTAAATTAGTTGACTACTAGTGCATGAGAATAATATGCGCTTCCATTCGAGAGTTGTTGTTGCTATCGCTGTGAATCAATCTGTAAAATTGTAGGTTAAGTGAGTATGGCTTGAAGTAGGTGATTGGATAGGACTGCATCTGGATAATAAGTGTTAAAACGGAGTAGGAAGTTTTGAAAATAACTGAAAATCACAGTAAGGAACTGTAGAAATAACTTAAGAACGGCTCTCTTTGTCGGGGCTAATGGCTTGAAGTAGATGATTGGACAGGACTGCATCTTGATTATAAGTGTTCAAACAGGGTAGGTTAGTATTGAAAGTAACTTAAAAGCACAGTAGGGAACTCTAGAAAGAACTTAAGAACGACTCTCATTGCCTGGGGTTTGTGCCTCCATGTGATTAGAACTGTTGATTGCACCTCTAGCTTTCTGTGCAGCTGCTTCCTTTGTTGGGTTTAGACTGAACAATGCTAATTGTGGTTTTAGTTTCTTTGATAGCTTCCAAGCATGAATTGTGATTAAACTGGGTATGTTTGTCCAGTTTCTTGTACGGTGAAAATTTAGAAATACATCTGCTAGTAGATGGCAGGCACATCTACATCTATGAGTTAATGGTTTAGTTTGACCTTCCACCGATAAGTTCCCATGTCAATTTTCAAGAGCTCATAAGAAAGTTAAACGGCTAGGATGTTTTCTGTGGGATTCATTCGGTGATATATTCAACCTGTATTTAGCACCTTATTTTCTTCCTGGCAATTCCAGTAATGCAGGATTGAAGTTTCGCAACTATGTACCTCAAGCCAAGGAGCTTCAGGAGGGAAGGCTTGCTCCACCAGTGCTACCAAAGTTTGAAGATCCGATTGCAGCAGCCCCTCCATCACCGGAGAAGAAAGAGGTGCATGCTTACTCATCTTAGATCTGACACATTTTACTAGCAGAAGCCTCTTCTCTTCTTTAAGCACTTTTTTGTTTTTTGTTTTTTTGTTTTAGCTCAGTTCTAATGCTCGGCTTTGTTCTTATTTTGGTGCTTTAGGATCCTTTCCTCAACATTGCTCCAAAGAAACCAAACTGGGACCTGCGTCGGGATGTTCAGAAGAAGCTTGAGAAGCTTGACCGACGGACACAGAAAGCACTGTACAAACTTATGGGTAAGTTAGAAAAACATTCCATTTTGGATAGTTTGGTTGTTTGTTATCCCATAGCGGCATGGTCCAAAAAAGTTTTGGACTTCCATATTAGTTACTCTTGTGAACTTCGATTTCCATTTCCCCTTTTGCAGAGGAACAAGAGAAGGAGAGGCAGGCAGCTGAAATGATCGAAGAGGATTAGAACGTCATCTTCACTATGGATAATCCATTGTAGCTGTGATATGAGATGCCAAAAACTAGAATGCTGATTTCCTTGTAGAATTACACAATGTATAATTGACAAAACAATGCATGGAAAGGAAACGAACTCTTATTGCTGTGATTTCAGTTTTACACGCAGGAGAATTTTTAGTGGCTGGGAAGGATAGTTCCATTGAATTTGCATTAGAATTTAGTACACCAAGTATTTTCTTTTGTTCTTTCAATGGAGAGAAGAGACCTAATTTACACACAACAGCGACTTTAACAAACAAACTTTGCTTGGCAAACTAAAATAGAGAAAGAACAATGACACCATCTTGTCCCTTTTGTGCCCTCCATAATGTTGGAAGAACTGTTGAACCCCTGTTTTTCGATGGCTGTACCCGTGTTGGAAGTTCGACGATTTGGTTTCTGTGCAGCATTACGCTTGTTTGCTGGAAATGTATTGTATACCCCCTCTTAGCTGCCTTCAGCTCTTAAGTGGTTGGCATTTGCAGCTGGTGGCCCTCGGTTGTTTTCATCGTTCCATGAGGGATCAACGACAGGAAGCTGATAGTCATCAGGTTTCAGGGCTAACGCGAAATCTGGCAAAGTAGGTGCCGTCTCCATGATCCTGTGACCCAAAACCGATGTAAGATCACTATATATACATTCCCTCAAAGACATGGAATTGATTGATCAATCACGTTCTTACTTTTCGTGCGAGTAGAGATCACGATTTATGCGCACTTTGCTGGAAGTATCTCTAGGGATTTTCTCTGACAGGAACTTCATGGTTCCCCAAAGTGGTGGATTTCTGCAAACAAACAAGAAAGGAACTCAAGGATGCTGCGATTACAGATAGAGCGCGGATTAGGAGCTATGTGCGTCTAGGGTGTGCATTGTTATTATAGTTAGTTACCTTGACGTGGGAGTGGCTAAATTGAATGCCTCGCATGACCTTTTACTTTCTTTGAAGTATTCATCTGCAGCTTGCAACGCAGCTACCGCCATCCCATGAGATTTCTCGGTGTTGCCTTCGTCCAGGATCAAGCCGTGATAATAATATGCACCAGCCTGATTGATTGGGAACCCAAAGGATTAAACCAAAAAACTTGGTATTTTCTTGTATCTCTCAGCAGTAATAAAACTGCAAGTATCAACAATCAAGGACCCTGGAAAACATAAATTAGGATGAAAGGCTTACCCTTGCCTCCACATATTTCCATTTGATGAAAAGTCTGTGCTTTTCTCCCCAACCATTTGCTAGTGGAAGATTCATTATGTTATCTTGAGCCTGGTTACAAAAGCATCCAAGATAGAGCAACATCAATATCTGATCAGATACTCGAGGCATACAAAAAAGGGAAATGTTCGAAGAACTAGAAACTGCATTATCTTGGATGGCTTGCTTGAGGAGTTCAGTCATAAGCTAAAAGAAGCACGAGAAGAAGAATTGAAAGACAAACCAACCTCAAATTAAGGTAATAAATTTTGAAGCAGTACCTGCTGCCAATACTTAACCATCTCGCATGCAAGCCTCCGTTTCACTGCCAGCGTTGCTTTGGCACTATCAATTGCCATCCCGAGTTGGATATCAACGGTCTACCCAGACAGGAACGAAAACACAGTCAGTCACTTCTGCCGACAGATTTGAAGAAAAAAACCAAGTTGACCAATCAACTGGATCTTATTTGACATAGAAGAACAGGTTGAGGGGCTCCTCACGTGAAATGACTCCAAGACATGACTAACAGTAATTAGGTGATGACTTCAACACTAATACTAATGAAATCATAGCTGTATCCTGCATGATGTGAGATGGAGAAGAGAAGGTGCAAGAACAGTTGGAAGGCTAGAGATCAGGGAATTCAAGTTGCTGGTCTAGACTTCTACATTCTATTTGATTTTCACAAAAGGATCAGTCTATTTCACTGACATCACGGAATCTGCTGCCTTGGGAATTGAAGTTCTATACCTACTAGCTTTAGGCAACTTCAATTCAAGAGTGCACACATGTTCCCTCCTATTGTAAATTTGTAATACTTTCTTCTTCCTAAATGAATGCCTGCTCTGGATGGTTATATATACAAATTTCTACTGAACTGTCTGCTTGCTTCAGACCTTAACAGCTGATTGTTAATCTCCAATACAATATTATCATTTATACACAGCACAGCACCATATGAAAATAAGTCAGAAGCAATTGCTAATAACCAAGTCATTGAAGTGTGCTCGTACCTGCCCCAAGGCCTGTAGACAAAGTGCTCGAAGAACTCCTTCGGCAAGGTCCACTGGCAAGTCTCTCCTACTAGCAATAACAAATATGTTCAAAATCTAATGAAGGTTACATTACAAGTAGCAATATTTAATATAAGTCTGTGAACTATATTGACCTCAGCGCAGCAGGTAAATGTGGAAGAACATGCCTAACTGCACAATCCAAGTATCCAGCGGCCTTCAAGAATATGTCAACCGATGCCCGCCTGCTTTCTATAAAAAGGAAACCGATGACCACTCAATTTTAGAGACAATTAAGACAGCATATTTCAGAATTCTATGTACTGGAAATCAAGAGAGAAACATGTAGAGACGCCCATATGCATACTCATGCTCACTGGATAACTTAAACATAAGATTTCATGGCATTCATATAGTCAATGAAATCCTCGTAGACATCCAGAGCACAGCATTCGAAATATAGGTTATAGCAAGGAACTGTAGATACTAGACAGACGTTTTCAGGAAGAAGAAAAGGAAATCCAAACACTCATTGAACTCAAATTTAAGCTTGACACATAATAACTATGCACAAAGCAGCTTAACAGTAAACTTTCCAAGACATTAGACATGTCAATTAATCGATACCTATTAATACAAGGCTCAATTCCAAAGAAAGCTGTTGAAAATCCCAGCTGTGACCTATTGTTCAACCTTAATGTAAAATCGACAACCATGAGGATCCAGACATATTCAGTTATTCACACTGCTCAACCCTGTAAACATTGTTATCTTTTCTTCTTGATGTAATACTTTGATAATGGTGATTTCAGTATTAAGAATGCAGATTACTCGACGTCAACAATTTCACAGTACGTTAAAGAGTGCAGACAGGTAGCTAAAGGTCTCAAGCAACACAAAAATTGATGCTGCCCCAAAAAATGAGAAACTGAGGCTAAAGAATCCTCAGTATTCTTTTAGGTTAGAAAGTTTTAGGAGATAGACATAACAACTCAAGCACAAATTTTCCGTGTTCGTTGCACTGACAGACTTTCCTTAAGAGTACAAACCTTCTGATACTTTTGGCTGATAACCATCGGCCGATGTTCTTGGGAGAAGTAACAAGTTTGCCTGTGATAATGATAGAACTGCCATCAAGTGCAAAACAGACAGTACCTCATACCATGCATTTGACATTGACGTCTCCTGCAAAAATGGTCCTAGTATATTTAGATGCAAAAGAAAAAAAATGGAGACCATAAAAGATCATGATATCATTAACACAAATAAATATCTCCCAAGCACTCACCTCTGCCTCATCCTCTTGATTTACCCACACAAATTGGATATTGTGTTGTAGTTGGCTACCATCTTTAACTAAACCCAAAAGAACAGGCAAGTAATCTTCAAGAGCCTGATGAAGATCAGCCAATGTTGAACCGCCTAGAGAAAAAGAACAAAATGTTAGAGATGAAGGGAACCTCTACTGCAAACCTTACACAATTACAACATTCCAGCGAAGAGAGTGTCTTGTTCAAGCTACCATGTTGTGTAGCACTTCTCCTTCGTGTTCTAGTAACAGTCGGTGCTTCTTGGCCGGCCATAACCACAATCCGGGTTCTTAGAGCAGAGAGTCGTTCAACTAAGTTCTTCGACAACTGGTCGCCGAGAGCCTGAGAGAAATCAACAGGTTTAGGTATTCGAAACCCCGGAACATAGACAGAAAGCTCTCCTATACTTGCAGGTCTCCTCCTGTTTCCACCAGCATCCTTAGGTGTAGACGCTATGCATCCCATTTCCTGAAGATCACTGTACACACTATTCCAAACAGGAAAAAACAACCAGCACAACAAAGAATAAGGTCCTGAGCTTAAGTAAACATTTAAGACACAAGAGAAACTGGTGGTGGCTCAAGCACATTGTATAGTAGACAATTTCCAGCCACATAATCGCAACAAGAAGGACTAGCTATTAACCGAAAGAGCATTACATCAAAGGAAGTATATTTAAGGCCTTAATGTCCCAACTAATAAAGCATTAAGTAGCAGGTTACTCACGAGCAGAGTCCACAGCCCTCTGGCACACTCGCTCTACCAATTCAACGGCTCCGAAAATCTGTTGAAAGACATGTACAACAGAAACAATAAACACAGATGAAATGTTTCTTTCATCTCATAATGATAACCATAACTAGGAAGGTAAATTGATGAGAGTTAGTAGGTCAGCTGACCTTCCCTGATGGGTTAGCCTCTAGCAATTTTCGCCCTGAAAAAGGAAAGGGAAAAAGGAATCAACTTGTCTTTCTTAAAGACAATAGGGACAGATGGAGAGAAGGACAATCAAGGGAAGAGGGTTAGACAATCACGAGGAAAGCCTGAAACTTGACATTTAACATTGCCTTTCCAGTTCAAGGAAAAAGAGGAGAAGTGTGATTGTCCTTCTCCTTCGTGCATGAACCATTCAAAAGTAAAATGTGAAAGCGAGAAAGGAACTTGGATCCAACCAAAACAACTTTCAAGTGGAGGGTGGACAGCTCAGGTAACAGGATGGGCAGCTAGCTAGATGATGGGAAAAATCTGTTGAGGAAGGGGAACCCCAAGTCCCAACTTGAATGCAACAGAATTCATTACTTTTCCCCCCTTTTAACGTGAGAGCAAGTTGTGGATAGATAGATAGAAAAAGAAAGATTTCCTTCCAATGAATTGTGAGTAAAGTCTCTTCAAATTAAGTTCCAAACCACAAGTAAACCTCTGAAGGAAGCAAAGCCGATAATACAAGCTCTTTTTTCCTCTTCCTTCCACTTCATTTTATCCTCCCAATCTGAATTCCCTCTACACTTCAAAGACCCAAATCACAAAAGAAACACAGAATTCGATCCCGTTCATCATCCAAACTTACAAGCTCCCAAAATCCTGTTAAAAAGAAGGGAGGAAATAGAAAACGACAAAACCCTTGTCCAGCAAAAACGAAACCCCTCAATTCACCCAATCAAGAACTTCCCCAGCAACAAAACAGGGCACTTGCAGACAAGCAGAGAAAGTAAGAAGCACAAAAAAGCGAAATTGAGCATTCAAATCAGCAATTGGGATAGGGGGAGGGGGAAAGCTGACTGAAGATTCAGCCAACCCACTTACCATCAAACTGGGTTTTGCTTAGCTGCTACTGAAACCGAAGCCGAACAGAAAATCAGTCAAGAATACTGGAAAAAGGAAACGAGCTTGAGATTGCCGGACTCCTTCTCGAGCAGTCAGCTGGTGTTGATTGGGAGAGCCTTGTAGAAAGAGAGAGAGAGTTGGCTTTCGAAGGTTCGAAGGTCAAGCAAGTATAATAAATTTCGAGGGAATATTATACTCGAAAAGCAATATAATACTATGGTATGAAACTATGAATAAAGCGACTGCGAGAGAGCAATACAAGATATAAATATATAGATGAAGATGAAAAGGGAAACAACTGACAACCCTTCCGAACTGTGGAAAAAAGGCAACTTGCTTTGTTAGAAGAAGAAGAAAAACGATTTGTTTATTTTTGAAAATGGAATTTAATTTAGTTTAATTGGCTCTAAACTAAACTAGTGATGACAATGGGAGCGGGAGCGGATACCTCAATAATCAGTGTCTTAATATAGGGTTGGGGTGGGACGGGTAATATTGCACGAGACGGGACGGGACCCACTATTTTATGTTATTTGAAAAAAATATACGCAAAAATTTACTTTTCACCATAAAACGAAGAAGAAAACACTTAATGAATTAAAAATAGTGATAATATAATGAGTAATTGAGTTTAACTAATTAAAAGATCTAGTCTTATTAGCTGAAGAAAGTCATAATAGGAGAAAGGAGAAATATGAATGAATACGGTAAACAATTGAGATAGAATGGACCAAAAACGAGGACGAATATAGATATCCATGACCTGCCTCACACTACTGCGAGTCGTGTAATACCCGCTCCATCACAAGTCGAATAATACTCATGTGACGAGTTCAAATTGCCATCACTACCTAAATTGCGTTTTTTCAATTTTCTCGAAACTGTTCTTTTGTTGTCATTTGCAAATGACGTTTTTAATTATAACGATTCCTTCCTATCTCGCCGCCCTTGCCTTGTCCCTTCCTCACTTGGTCAATATCCATTATTAATACAGCCCGTGACTCCTCCCTAAGGGTGCTTAAAAAGCTGAATGAGTAGGTTTTAGTGAGTGGGTTTAAGGACTAATTAGCTTCACTATTTAATTAAGTGTGGCTTCATTCGTTAATCATTGTTCACTTCATGAGAAGAGACGAGATCTAACAGCTTTATAGGTAGCCTACTAGCTTAGGCCTAGGCTACTATGAACATTTGGATTTTTGTTTCATTGTTTTTATAAGAATGTTTTGTATTATGATGGCAATTTGGTTTCTCCGACGATGGTGACCAAAGCCTAAAATATGTTAGTCCCGAGAGCATGACAAACTCATGCGAAAAAAGGTGTTAGATCACTAGGGATAAGTCCAAACTTGGTGCCCCAAGAGGACCATAGTTAGCCAACCCTTAGTACTCTAGGCTCAGAGGACAAAACCATACAAAATTGCACAACTTCGATAGATCTTAAGGTAGGATTTTAGTTTATCAAATGTTCATCGTATATGTGTTAAGAAAGTCGAATCATATTCTTTTCACAAAAAAATTGATATTACAGTCACGCAGATAATTTTTTATGGAGATCCACATTTTCATTATATTATAGTCATCTACTATAGAAACTAAAATTGCGGAAAAGTAAAGAACACAGAGCCTTAACGTGGTTTCCCCGAGATACGGGACTAGTCCACGGAGAGCGTAGCTCTCAAGGTAGAAGTTTCACTAGTGTTGTGCTTCTGTTACATCTAGCCGCCATTCACCCAGTATTTATATATGTAGGGTTCAGCTGGCAAAGCTAGAGTCACCCTTCATCAATTACACGAGTGACCAGCACAATTACAAAGTAGTGCCAGCAAGTAAAATATGTTACAAGTAGGTCTAATACTCCCCCTCAAGCTGAAGCATGAAGGTCCCGAATGCCAAGCTTGGACAACAAGGCGTGAAACTATTCAGTGCCCAAAGCATTGGTGAATATGTCGGCCCAGCTGTGAGTGAGTGCCGATCTTCTGGGGTAGGATGTCGCCCGAAGTCACACGCTCATGGACAAAGTAGCAGACCATCTCGACGTGTTTCGTTCGCTCATGAAAGACTGGGTTGGCTGCAATGTGAAGAGCAGCCTGACTATCACAATAAAGGCGAGTGGGAGTATGTTGAGGTACCTGTAACTCATGGAGAAGAAAACGGAGCCATAGAATCTCACTAGTGGTGCTAGCCAAGGCTCGATATTCAGCCTCTGCAGAAGAGCGAGCGACCACTTGCTGCTTCTTGGCGCGCCAGGAAATGGGAGCCCCACCAAACTGGATGTAGTAGCCTGTGGTAGAGCGACGGCTGAACTGACAACCAGCCCAATCAGCGTCACTGTAAGCCACCAACTCCAGAGGACCATCGGATGGGAGAAAGAGCCCTTGGCCAGGAGCGGCCTTCAAATAACGAAGGATCCGGTGCGCAGCGGCCATATGATCAGGACTAGGAGAGTGAACAAACTGGCTGAGAAGGTTGACACTGTAGGCGATGTCCGGACGAGTGATAGTAAGATATAGAAGTCGTCCAATGAGTCGTCGATAGGAAGCTACATCTTCAGTGCGTTCATCATTCGCCCGGGTGAAATTATGTTGTTGCTCCATAGGGAACCCGCTGGGGCGAGCTGCAGTCATGCCCGCATCCGCCAAAATGTCTAGGGTGTATTTACGTTGACTGAGAACGAGCCCATCAGGAGAACGAGCTACTTCAATCCCGAGGAAATACTTCAAAGGACCCAAATCCTTGATATTGAAGCGCTCATGCAGGTAGGCTTTAACACGCTGAATGAAACCCAAGTCATCACCAGTGATGATCACATCATCTACATAAATGAGGACCGCCGTAAACGCACCCGAGGACCCATGAGTGAGAAGCGAGTGATCAGCTTTGGACACCTGAAAACCAAACTCCAGTCAGGCCTGAGTGAATTTAGCATACCAATTCCGCGAGGCTTGGCGGATTCCATAAAGGGACTTGCAAAGCCGACAGACGCGTGTATCGACCTCTTTAGCAAAACCCTGGGGCACCTTCATGTAAACCTCCTCTTCGAGATCACCATGGAGGAATGCGTTGTTGACGTCGAGTTGGTGCAGGGGCCAACCCCTTTTAGCCGCCAATGCCAAAAGAACGCGAACTGTGACCAGTTTAGCAACGGGAGCAAAGGTGTCGTGAAAGTTGATACCTTCAAGTTGAGTAAACCCTTTGGCAACGGGATGAGCCTTGTAGCGTTCCACGGTACCGTCAGGATAGTACTTAATCTTGTAAACCCATTTTGAGTCGATGTCCCGCTTGCCAGGAGGAAGCTCCTAGAGAGTCCATGTGCCCTGTGCTTCAAGGGCGGCAATTTCCTTCATCATTGCTGCCCGCCACTGTTCAAACCGAACCGCTTGTGCATAGGTACGAGGCTGGTCAAGATTGGACATAACAGCCAAGAAAGCACGGTGAGCATTGGAAAGTCGGTGATAAGTGACACAATTTGACATAGGAAAATCTACATTATGAGAGGAGGAGTTCGGGTATTCTATCTCGTAAACATCCAAGCTTGTCGGAGGACGCCGATCCCGAGGAGGGTTATGACGAAGAGCGGGCTGAGGTGGAGGATCACTCCCATGGGCGAGCTCAGTCTCGGCAGGAGGGATGGTCGATGTAGGCGCGACCGGAGGCGGGGAGACAAGAGGGTCGACAGTTGGAGGCGAACCAAGAGGTGATGCGAACTCGGAGGTCTCATCATTATCCGGGTTGCTTATGGTCCCAGGAGGTGTCATGCGGTCAGCCTGATCATCCGGGTCCATGTGATCTGCAGGGTCGTCATCGGCAAGGAAGGGAGCGACATTTCCCACGTCATCTCCCCCTTCATGCATGCGACGAAGAGTACAAGTGTCCACGTAGGGGAGAGAGGACGAGAGTGTACCACGCTCGGCCGCCGATTTGAGGAGGAAAGGAAACACCTGTTCAATAAAGTGAACGTCACGGGATACAATGATCTTTCGAGTGCGAAAATCATAAACCCGGTATCCCTTCTGCGAGCCTGGATAACCAATGAACACTCCCGCACGACCTCGCTCGACAAACTTGTCCAGACCATGATGGGTGTCTTTGACATAAACGAGACAACCGAAACTGCGGAGGTGTGAGTAGGTAGGGATGCGTTCCAAGAGGATCTCAAAAGGAGTTTTCCCGGAAATAGAATTTAAGGGCATGCGGTTGATCAAATAAGCTGCTGTCAAAACGCATTCGGCCTAGAAACGAATGGGAAGTCCTGCATGGAACATCAACGCTCTGGCTGTCTCCAATAAATGACGATGCTTGCGTTCAACAACCCCGTTCTGCTGTGGGGTGTCAGTACAAGTGGTCTGAAGAACGATGTCGTGTTCCTCATAATAAGCTCGGAGGGAGGTGGTCTGAAATTCCGGACCATTATCTGCCTGTATGCGGCGGACGGTTTTCCGAAACTGTGTATGAGCAAGCTTACAGTACAGTCTGAGATAGCGTTCGACATCATACTTATACTTCATCATATAAACCCAAGTAGAACGACTGAAATCGTCCACAATAGTAAAAAATAGCGAGAACCATCAAGAGCAGGTGTCCGATAAGGTCCCCAAATATCCATATGAATCAGTGCAAAACATTCAGTCGTTTTAATGGAACTAGAAGGGAAAGGGATGCGAGTCTGTTTGGCTCGAAAACAGGAATCACAATGCAAAGAATCCCGAGAAGAAACGGTACAACCCAGAGAAGTCTTCAAATGAACAAGTTTATCAAAAGACAAGTGGTCGAGACGTGCATGCCATAGTTCAGAAGCAGTGATTGCTGACGCCGCCGGGCAAGTCCACACAGGAGCTGTCACTTCGAAGCGGTGCAGGTAATATAATCCATCTTTAAGATGACCCACTCCAATCAGCGTCCTAGAAGGTAATACTTGAAGCACGCAGAAATCACGCAAGAAGGTCACTGCCACGTTATGGTCACGAGCTAAGCGACTGACCGATATAAGGTTGCACTTGAAAGCCGGTAGGTGCAAGACGCGGTCAAGTACTATAGAATCTGTGAGCTTAACAGAACCCATCCCTTTTACCGGAATTCCTGTCCCATCCGGAATTCTGACCTGTGTGTGATCAAAATGACTGTCCATCCTATCCATCCAACTAACATTACGAACTATATGCTCATTACACCCTGAATCAATTAACCAAGTATCGAGATCAGGAGAGTTACCCGCCATGTGAGCCGTGGGAGCTGTAGGACTGTCGGTGGAGCTGAGAAACTCCTTGAGTTGATTAAACTGAGCAGCCTAGAGCCCATGGATGGGAGATGAGGTGTCGGGTTCTACATGTGCAGCCTTGGTGCGCCGATTGCTTGGCGCGACACGCTCATCAGTCTGTTTGGCTTGGAGATGCCCAGCTGGATACCCATGCAGACGATAGCACTTCTCTTTCGTGTGCCCCAATTTGTTGCAATGCGCACAACGTGGGCGCTCACGATCTTCAGGCGGCTCCTGCTCGGTCTGGGCCTGGAAAACTGCAGTGTCAACGATGGGTCGACGATTGCTAGTGATGTGACGGTGCTGCTCTTCTGTAGCAACCATTTGGTAAGCATCTGCAAGGGATGGAGTAGGCCGAGTACTGAGTATCTGAGACCGAACCACCGAGTAAGCCTCATCAAGTCCCATAAGAAACTTGAAAAGGCGCGCTGTGTCGATGCTGTCCTGCTGCGCTTGCATCCAATTGCAGGTGCAGCGCGCTACTCCCCCTATCGTCTGCATCTCATCCCAGGTCGAACGTAGATGAGTATAATAAGCAGAGACAGACAACTTATCTTGCCGAAAATTGCTGATGGTCCGCCGCAATTCGTACGCCCGTTGCGTCGTGCCTTTGCTGAAGCGGCGTTGCAAATCCAACCAGATAGCACGAGATGTGGTGGCGGTGGGGACGCTGTTATGGACTTCGCGGGTCATCGCAGTCTTTAACCAGCCCTTGACTGTCGCATCACAGCGATCCCATGCCTCCCGGTGAGAGGGGGATTCATATTTCGTGCGAGGCAGGGCACCATCCACAAAGGCCAAATTATTTTTGGCAATAAGGGTTTCGGTGATATCATTCGCCATAGTTGGAGTCACTCAAGAGGTCGCTACCGAACAGTTGCGCAGGGTTTTCAGATGGGTGAAGGTAGAGAGGAGAGCTAAGCGAGATGCTGCCGTCACCAATAGGTTCGACAGACTTGCCGCTGCTAGTGTCCTCGTCCTTGCCCATGAAGCTTGAACAAGATGCTGAATCTCACCGCTCTGATACCATATAGAAACTAAGATTGCGGAAAAGTAAAGAACACAGAGGTTTAACGTGGTTTCCCCGAGATACGGGACTAGTCCACTAAGAGCGTAGCTCTCAAGGTAGAAGTTTCACTAGTGTTGTGCTTTTGTTACATCTAGCCGCCATTCACCCCGTATTTATATATGTAGGGTTCGGCTGGCAAAGCAAGAGCACCCTTCATCAATTACACGAGTGACCAACACAATTACAAAGTAGTGCCAGCAAGTAAAATATGTTACAAGTGGGTCTAATATCTACCATTTGAATTGAAATATTTTAGGTTGCCTTTGTTACATGCACAAACCATCTCATACATCTTTTTCGCACTACCTTGTGAGCGGCGTGGTGATATTCTACTCCAAACTGTCATTCTCTGTTTACATGTTATCTTCGTCATGTTCACCAAATATGCACACTCTTTATAAGGAGTTGGATGCAAGATTTTCATGAAGAAGACAATGTGAGTTCTCTACGAGTTTAAGCGATGAACATTGCTTGCTAATCAATATGGTTACACTACGAGCAAGACTATCATCATCGCATCAGATTAATATTTATGATTACTTCTGATTCCAATAAAGATTCACACCAATATAGTTGAATGACCACCACAACCCATTTGCTTATTATGTAGACCATAATGTGCATAGGAAAAAGAAATACCTTGTTTATTGCATGAAGGACCTTTGCCATACAATCATCCATGATCCAAGCATAGCATTATATTGAACAAAGCACAATGTATATTTGAAATAAGGGTTGGCAATCAAAGTGGAAAATCACGGGAACTCCATATCTCAAGTGAATTTTAGCATCATAAGTAGGAATGGCAATGGTAGGGTCTGGTGCGGGTTTTCCCTATACCAACTCCTAACCCGCCGGGTAGAGCCTTCTAAAATACCCGACCAAATAATCATCGGGTATGAAAATTATATAACCATACCCTACCCACCAGGTAACCACGGATATTCGGGTAACCATGGGTACGAATCCTAAACTATGAACTTATACACATATATGCACATATATACGGTTGTCCATTAAAAATTCTCAATACTTGTAACTGTTCTAGTTTCAACAATCCACACAAATAAAATCAGCAAACACATAATAATTGTTCTTGCTTCTACAATCCACACAAACATAATAATCGTCTACATCTTCATCATCAATAATGGTAGTTAAACTCAATTTCTCAAGCTAAACTAAATTTCTCAAGGGAAATTGACCCTTTGGTTAGCGGGGCGGGTATAACCGGACGGGTACTATCGATTACCATACCCGTACCCTACCCTTTATTTTGAAACCGAGTATTACCCGTACCCGCTCCTTAACCCGTCAAAGCGAGTAATTACCCTCATTGACCGGTTACGATCGGGTAGGGTACCCATGGTTACGGGATGGATTGACATCCATAATCATAAGGTATGTCTTCACTTCTGCAACAACCAGGACTGGATAAATAAGAGTGTTAACTAAGTCGTCGCACACCTGTCCAGAAAGATAGGGATGACATTCTCTATGGTGTCACTCTGAATCTCAATAATGTTTGTAAACTCAATTGTCATGACTAGCTAGCATCCAATGGATGATGGCTAGAGAATGGTGAGTTGATGGATCACATGAGCAAGAAAACCATAGAAGTTTTGATTGAAGATAGAGGTAGATATAAGGTCTTTATGTAACTACTAGTTCTCTATATGTATAACTAAAGCAAACAAACTTGCGCACCTTGATTATGCCTCTAATTTATCATCATAACACAATTTAAGCGTCCCAAAGTTCTAAAATTTTAAGAACAATTCAAAATTGTATGGTCAAAAAAGATGGTTGATGATGACCACAAGCACAAAGTCAATGGGGTAATTTTATCATATAGTATTAACCCTTCTGTCAATCTACCATTCGTCAAAATGGATGATCTCTCCCAAACACAGACCTTAACTGCTACTACTAAACTTTCCGGCTCTCTCTAGACAAAATAGAAGAGAGTTATTTAAAGGCTAAATTGCAAGTTTGGTCACTTGAATTACTAGAAAATTTCACGTTAGCCACTAGAATTACTTTTTTCCATCCGTAGTCACTTAAATTAGGTTAACAGTTCATGTTTGGTCACTGGCCGTTAGTCTCCGTTAAGTTTTGCTGATGTGGCGGTCAACTCTTATAGTTGACCGTTAAATGAGTGACGTGGCAATTAAAAAAATTAAAAATTTAATTTTTAATAATTTCTACTTCATTATCACAATAAATTAAAAAGTAATTAAAACAAAAAATATGTCACAAGAAGACGAACTTTATTAAAGTACAGACTATCGAGAGACTTGCTCACAATGTCACAAAAATGGAGCCTGATTAGGTAGGAGAATCCCAAATCAACAGGTACCTTCCATGTCAAGTTGAAGTTCTGGGTTTGGGTCTCTGAATCCGCCATTTGATCTGCAGTGGCGTAGACCAAGCTCGGCGCAATCCGCAATGTAAGGCGTCGCTGCTGTAGGTCCGGAGGACATGGGGAACTTGATGGTATCTGGCGATACAGAAACATTCTGAGCTCC